TTAACCCTTTTCCTCTCATTTACAAAAAAGTCCTACCTTTCCCTATATTTTGTATAGGTTTTAATGGGAGACATAAGATTTTAAGAAATAAATATCACAATTTAACACTGTAAAAGACGTTTTGAATCTCTAATGCAGACAAATGTCTGGCTACTGCTTGTTGTGCTTTGAAGACTCAGGGTTTTGTTATCTGAAATGGCATCTGGGCTTTTTCTACAGTGTCACAGATATTCTAGTAAACTACTGGGGTCAGGTAATTTATGTTAATATACTACCTAGGAAGATAATCAGTAAACTGCTTTAAACAATAACAATGACAGGATTTCTAGTCAATCAGCTCTACATCTATTAAAACCCACAGACTTAAAGGCACTAACCAGCTAACAAATTAATTTCTCTAAATCTATTTTTTTCTACGTATTATTGACAGATAACTACTTTGGCAATTCTGTATAATAGTTTGAAGGCCTTCCCTAATGGCACAACAGCATATTTACAAAAGGAAGAAAATATTGTACCAATTAGAATGAAGTGAAATTTATGTCACATTCACAACATCTAAGTAATCGCTCTCCACGTAAGTGAAGTGCTGGGTGACCGGTGGAGGCACATACAGACATACTGTGTTAATATGCACTACCAGTCAACATAATTTGGTCAAATTACAGCTTTGAAAAAGCTAGTTATGCAAGAGACTAGCAGTGCTATTGTTGATACAACTCTAATTAACTGAACATTACTACATTTCAGATGTTACTTCTGGTAGTTACAGTGTAATTAAATTCATCATACTTGTTAGTCCGAATTTATTTTTTTTTTAAAGTGTGTGAAAGACCAGAGAGTCAAAAAAAGACTAAATTAAAATATTTAGATTCAATACAAATAATAACTAAAGCTAAAAAAGTATTAAATGTTAAACTGATTATACAGAAATTAAATCAAGCAGATATACATAAGGTAAGAGTCATTATAGAAAAGATAACTTGAGCTACAGCAGGACTGGTACAAAATTTATCCATTCACAAAAATCAATCAATCAATCAACCAATCAATCACACAATCTGTATGTGTGGCATACAACAACTGTGATATTCAGTAAAAAAATTAAGTTCAAATAGCAAAATAATTTATTTCAAATTGTAGACCTTTCTTTCCACTGTTTCTTTTTATCAACTCAGTTAAACATCACTGTCACAATAGTGATGTGCCAACATGTAATGGTAGTTATCAAAGAACCCAGAGGGCAAACCCAACATAGTTGGAGCTAAATATGCCATATTTGTTCCTTAGGGGTTCACTATGCCTTTTTCTAGTGTCTCCAGATAATATACTTAAAATACTTTAAAAATTGAAAACTTATATTAAAAAAATGTCTTTGTACTGATTGCAAAAGATCAAACCACAGCTAAAAATCAATGAAAATAGTAATGAAGAGTTTCTAACACACCAAACCTGTAAAAAGATATTATCTGTCTCTATGTGAAATTCAGCAACAGTAAGAAGCATCAAGAATACAATTAAGTCTGCTACTTTGCACACTCTGGAAGATTTTACCATTGTTCTATACAGATTAAAACAAAACAAAACAAACCACAAAACCTATATATGATTTACACTGGTTGATATATATATGTGAGATTAATTCTTTGGGAATTCTCGAAGTAATATAGCCTAGGTGTCTACCATATTGTGTGAAACCTAAACCAGTCAATGAAAATGAGTCCATATACGGTCTTTCCTGGAAGGTAAATAGAGCAGCAGCATTATAATACACTAGGATTATCAGTAATCAGCCACATAAAATGCAACTAGGAGAAATAACCAGTGAACATAGAACAAATGAACAAATGTGTAGTTGAAACTATAAAGATTTCTATCTGTTCAACCTTTTTCTAACACAGCAGTTTGTAGGTATTAGTTACAAATACCCTTTCTTCTCTATCCTATTAAATGAAAATTAAAGACAGCAACATACAAAGGTGATATATTTCACTATAATCACAGAACAGAACCTGCAACCAAAAAAACATCATGTTAGGCCTGTGCTTGAGATAAGAAATATGTTTTAGAAGCTGCATATTAATGAACCAGATTGTCTTACATGAATTTTTCCACTTTTGCTGTTGTTTTTTGCTTGATGCTATTAAAAGAAACTAAGACAATACCAAATTTTGTAAAAGGAATGCCTTTCAGTCTGCCATTTTTGCTTCTGCTCAGTACTTTCCAGGACAGAGAGATTTATTTTTCTTGGGAGTCGCTGTTTCAAAAGCCTGTTGAAAAATGGGATCAGCTATGTATACGAGATGGTCTGAATGGTCACTAATTAAGGAGTATCTACCACGTACCTTGTTACCATGTTCCAGTGTTTTGTTATCTCCTAATTAAAAGGTTTAACTTTTATAAAATTATGGAGGTTTTGTTACAAAATTAAGCTGTTTTTTCCTTATTCCTCAGCTAATAGAACTGGAACAGAATTTATCCTCGCTGTAATCTATTGTTTGGTGTTTTTTTAATGCTTTAGAATGCTGTTGTTTTGTCTGCCCTTAATCTTTCATTTTTTTCCACCAAAAATATATAACTTTATTATATCCCAGAGGCTGTATTTTTTAAACCTCTCATTCTTCCTATTGTTATTCTTGCAATGTCAGGCAGTAACACGTATTATTTTGTAGTGAAATGACATGGTCATAATTAATTACTGTTAATAAAACAAAGGGAATTCAGAATCAAGCACACCTAAAACTAATATCCAGTTTCAAATGGTGACAGGATGTTACTTAGTGATGGTTCTAGAACAAACCTAACAAAGGACTCTGCAGCTTTGTGCCGAGAAGGTAACTCTGTTCCTGGTCTACAGGAAACTCATGATTTTCATTGGGTATAAAAGGAAGATACTGCTTTAAAAGATGTAGCCTGCTTATTACGATTGCAATTGATATTCTCATTACTCTGTTCTAAGTATCAGTCTTTGTTATTGCAATCCAATGCAAGTGAGAGTGAGCGGAGACACACTTCTGAAAGAATAGGACAGGAGCAGAACAATGGTCCTCATTTCTCTCGTTCCCTTGGGAAATTATTAGTGGTAGCTCATTTGCTGATCTCTGAAAATATATTTGTCTTTTTTTTCAAAGAGAGATTATTCTATTAAAAAATTATCTATTTTTGCATATTATTATAGCACCTAAAAGCTCTGTGCTTTTACTAATCCTCCCTTCTGCTGTATAATTATAACACAGAGTACAAGGTCATTTCATTTACAAAGACCTTACAGATTGAGTGTAAAACAAGAGACAACTGATGGATAAGGAAAGACAGAGGAGTACAAGGGAATAATGAGACAATGCTAGTCACTGTGATAGGCAGCAGTCTCAACACAGAATCATCTTAGACACTGTGAACACTTTTTTTCCTTTAAGTAGGTAACATTGAAATTTAGATTTTTTTTTTATTTTTTTTTTAAGGAAAGACTAGAAATAGAGGAGGGAATAAGAAATTAGTTTTTGGATATTTTACCAGAGCTACTTCTGAGAGTCAGTTACAGTCTGTGAAACAGAAAGGTGATTGTTTCACAAGGGCACAATTGGATTTATAAAGAATGGCAACATGTGCTGGCCAGAGACTGGAGGCAATGTCTCAGTGCCAAATGAGTAGGAAGGCATTGGAAGCAAATATGCTTTGAAAGGTCCTGAAAGTAAAGGCAAATTTAGTATATCTGATATAGCAGAGAAGAGAAAAACAGAAAAATATATAATTCTTAATTCCATTACATAGCTTTATGGCTTTTTTACAATAATTTGCCTACAGTCTGTATTTTCAAGTTAAAGTCATCTAATACACAGAAGAGTGTGCAATGTGTCAAAATCTAATGTTTATTCCCTGTCAGTTTGTCTGAGATGTGATGTTTGAATCCATGTATCATAGGCTATTAACATAAATTAGTAAAGAGGAGACACTGAAATGGACCAAAATATTAATTATGCTCTTTAAACTGTTCGTTGCTGATGGCTAACTACTGAGTGCATTGTTAAAAGATGGCCAACAGTAGATCAGTGTGGTCATATTCTGTACCCTCACTATGTTGATGTGCATACATGGTGTCTGTCAGATGAGTTTGATAATGAGTGTATGTTTGGCATTTACTCTGGATGAAAAACTGCCCTCCAAGCCTGAAATACGTTGTTGAACAAGGTGGGCAGTGTCAGAACAAGCAGCCAAAATAACAGCTAATGGGTAGCCAGAAGCATTTGCCATGGATCAGACTGAACACCTGTCTCCTCGTTTAAATAGAGATTGAAATAAAGATCTCTATGATTCCTCAGAAAGGTCTCTGCATTTGCCCTTTGTTTAATTGAAGACAAGAATGTCAGAGGTGGTAAAATCAGTTAAGACGATTTCTATTGACCAGGAAGGAGAAAGCTGCGCATTTTTGCTGCTTCTTCATGGTGCACTACCACCTTTGGAATTTTTGCAGGCATTTTGCTGGGTTGGGAAAAGGGGAAAGAAGAGGTTAAAAAAAACATCTGCACCGCTCTGTTTCAGCTGTCAGTCATCAGGGCCACTAAGGCTAGACTTTCACCCTTCAGGCAGTTCTGTGACTGCAGCTGAAAATGAACCCTGTCTAAGCAGAAACATACAATTATTCCAATCAAATTATTCCTAGGCTACACAATACAATTACCCAGCTTAATTTGGAAGATTAATTAATTGAAGGATGATTTTCCTTTTTTGCATAGAGAGTCCCTGTGTAGGATATTCATAAAGGAAAGTTGAACATTTGACTTTCATGTCGGAGTCTCTAAGAGAATCTCTATTTTAATCAGAAACAGACTTTTTTTCAGCTCTTTCCTTTTAGGGAGAGGACGTTTGAACACTGCGAATCAGCTCTTATATTAACACAGAATCAATACCTAAAAGCAACACAAAGTGATGTTTTGACAGAGTTTTTTCTTCATTTTTTCTCCTCTTCCACAGATGAAAATTGATTGAAAGAAGGGTTCAGCATGAACTGCTCTGCATTTCTGTCTTTCATGCTGATGTTGGTTCAACTTTGGCCTTGCTCTCCGAGCACACAGAATTTCAGCGCTCAAAACATGGATCAGTCTCTCACAGCAGTTCGAAGAGTGAAACGCAGCTGGGTTATATGGGAGCCACTTTTTGCAACTGAGGAACAGACTTCAATGGTGCCTGTGTATGTTGGACAGGTATGATAAGTAATGATTCCAGGACACACTAGATTTAACATGCTGATTAGCAGTCTACTACCTTGACTTGGAAGACTAAGCATCTCCAGTGACCTGGAAATATCAAGAAATGTAGAAAGAGGAGACTAGGGAGCTGTAATTAGGCAGCACAACATCTATCCTTTCCTGTGGCCTGAGTGAGAGTCAGGGAACTCCAAGAGCTGGAGGTCGTGGCAGTATCAAGGACGTTCCTTTACCTAGGTCTGCTGTCCAGGAAACTCTACATTCTCTCTATTACTAAAACTGCTTCTATACACAGCAGATGAAGGCATCAAACTGAAAAGTTCTTTTATGTCTTCTTAATGAAAGTTAAGGACTCATTTATCAACATCTGGCAATTTGCTTGTGCTATTTTTGGCACTGCATCAAAGCAGCCATACTGAGTGCAGTGTAGTTTACAAACAGTATTCAGCATGATTTTCTGTTACACTAAGTAGCAGCTGATTTACCCCTCATTAATTTTTAATGAAGCAGATTAATACTAAATCCTTTTACCACTGAGAAACTACAGGCATCTGCATGGTTCATTAGATTAACGTAGGTTTAGCACAACAAGCAATTATTTTTCATCCTCCTTAAAAAATGTGATTTAAGATAATTGTCTTAATGAGGCTTTCTCTGCCCCTTTCTTCTCTCTATTATTATTGTTATTATTAAATATTTTTTGTATACTAGAAGTAATTGTAATCTTGAAATGTAGTTTTCCTTCCTTTAAGGCACATTTTAGATGAATGATCCAAAATAAGTTTAACTGCTAATTAACTAGCACTAAAATTTAATTGGGCCCAAAGGGTGAAGTGATCAAAATTCATTAATTACTTTTTCACAGCCACTTCAAAGTAACTACTATGGAAGTGTGATGTCTCACTTCTGAAAGAACAAGTGTAGACATACTCATTTATTAATTATTATTAGTTTTCCCATAGACGGAAAGCAGTTTCCTGTAAAGACACTTCATAAATGTCATATTTTTTCATACAGCTTTAGAAAAATTTCATAATCTTGCCCTTCTATTTCTCACAGACAAACTACGGGGTATTTTTGTTTAAGATTATGGTTAATTTATTGCAGTTCGATCCATTATGTTGTCTAATCAGAAATATTTATGTGTCTTTCTATTGAGTAGAATATACTCTGCTTTCAGTAAATGAAGTGATAACCTATGACCAACACATGAATTTTTAGTACATAAGAACTTGAAGGAAACTGCATTGACCAAAATACAAAGGTAGACAGTCTCTATTTTCAAATCATTATTCCTTATCAACTTCTTTTCACAGACAGATTCAGAGCTCAATCTTCAAATTATTTAACATAGACTCATGAATCCTTTTCCGTTTACCATGTTTAGGAAAAAGAAATCTGTCCATCAGCACTGCAATGACAGATATGTGAGGGCAAGTGCATAAATTCTTTCTCCCAATTCTCATTTACAACAGAATGACTGTTTATTCTTCAGTGACTAGCTTGACTAACCTTCTATGACAAGATGACCAGCTTAGAGGATAAGGGAAAGGCTACTGATGTTGTTTACCTGGACTTTGGTAAAGTCTTTGACAACATTTCCCACAGCATTCTCCTGGAGAAACTGTCTGCTCATGACTTGGATGGGCATACTCTTTGCTGGGTGAAAAACTGGTTGGATGGCTGGGCCCAAGGACTTGTGGTGAATGGAGTTAATTCCAGCTGGCGGCCAGTCACAAGTGGTGTTCCCCAGGGCTCAGTATTGACACCAGTTCTCTTTAATATCTTTATCAATGATCTGGATGACGAGATTTAATGCACCCTCAGTAACACTGCAGACAACGCCAAGTTTGGCAGGAGTGTTGACCTACTTGAGGGAAGGAAGGCTCTACAGAGGGAGATGGACAGGTTGGATCACTGACCTGATGCCAATTCCATGCGATTCAACAAGGCTGAGTGCCGGGTCCTGCACTTGGGTCACAACAACCCCATGCAACTCTACAGGCTTGGGGAAGAGTGGTGGGAAAGCTGCCCGGTGCAAAAGCACCCAGGGGTGTTGGTTGACACCTGGCTAAATATGAGCTGACAGTGTGCTCAGGTGGCCAAGAAGGCCAATAGTATCCTGGCTTGTATCAGAGATGGTGTGGCCAGCAGGACTAGGGGAGAGAGATCGTCCCCCTGTACACGGAACAGTTGAGGCCACACCTCGAATACTGTGTTCAGTTTTGGGCCCCTCACTACAAGAGAGACAGGTGCTGGAGAGTGTCCAAAGAAGAGCAACAAAGCTGGTAAAGGGTCTGGAGCATTTTAGGGAACCGGGGATGTTTGATCTGGAGAAAAGGAGGCTGAGGGGGGAAACCTTTTCACTCTCTACAACCACCTGAAGGGAAGTTGTAGTGAGATGAGTGTCAGTCTCTTTTCCCAAGTAACGAGTGATAGGAGAAGAGGAAACCTCCTCAAGTTGTGCCAGGGGAGGTTTAGACTGGATATCAGGAAAAATTTTTTCACCAAAAAGTTTATCAAGCGTTGGAACAGGCTGCCCAGGGAAGTGGTTGAGTGATCATCCTTGGAGGTATTCAAAAGATGTGTAGATGTGGTACTTACGGATATGCTTTAGTGGTGGACTTGTCAGTGTTCACGGTTGGACTTGATGATCTTAAAGGTCTTTTCCAACCTAAAGAATTCTGACAGCTAAGTGTTAGAGCAAAGATACCAAAGTAGGAAGAAAGAGGAAGAATGAGACTGTGTGAAAATACACATAAATCATTAAGAGCAGGTCCTCTTCTTCTATAGTGGCAAAATTCCCACTGAATGTTTTAGAACTGCATTTTTTTCCGGTTTCTTCTTTTTTGTTCAAAAGTATTTCTTCTTTAACTCACGGACTTATAGCACTCATTATGCACCATACTTAACAAATAGTAAGAAATTATGAAATATATTTATTTAACAAAACAAGCAAACTGAGAACCTTCAGTATGCTTTCTCAGAAAACGTTATCTGTAAGACACCTCTCATTTAACATGGTCAAGGCCGTGAAAGTCTTTTCGGGATAAATTATTCTGAGTGAAGTGGCTCACACAGATTATGTCTAAACAACCAGTCCCCGGCATGTTTCCAGTCTCCAAGGGTTTGATGCACTCTGTGATCAAATCTGAACCCGATCTTAGATTAAAGATCTAGATATTCATCACCTTTCACGTGCCCTGGGTTCGTAAGAAGGAAACCAAGATCTATGCATCAAAAAGAATCTTTGGTGCCCCTTAGCTACATGCCAGATATTAATTGTGTTATAAGAAGGAAACCAAGATCTATGCGTCAAAAAGAATCTTTGGTGCCTCTTAGCTACATGCCAGATATTAATTGTGTTGAAATGAGTTTGACCAGACCACTCAAAAAGAGGTGAACTTGCCCCATGCTTTGCACATGACTGGTGTTGAAAACATTTGATTTTAAGTTGTACATATTTTCAATGTTTATAAGCTCCCTAGCCTTGAAAAATTCTCTTTCTTGTACTGACAAGGGGAATTAACTCTGGATAATTTGGGGCTTAAATACTCTGACAGAACTCAGAGCAGGAACTCAGAACTGTTCCTTATATCTCAGAGCAGTGTAACATTCTGAATAATCTGTCCATTTAATTAACGGAGACAGTTATTCATTATGAAAATCTTCAAAAGGCATGCGCATTGTTCCAATAAAAATTTAAAATTATTTTTGGAACTTCAGAAGCTGTTATAAAGTATGCTGAATAGATCTAATAGGGAAATGGGCCTTTTACACCCGGTAGCTACTTTGTTCCCACTCTGTGGCCTCAGATCTTACACTGAGCTGAGGGTCAATAAATGAAACAAAACAGTGAGATTACGGAAGTCAACAGGCAGACATACCATTTGCATTTAAAACCTGATAGTTTGTAGAAGCAGCAGGTTGAATAAAACTTTTTTTTTTTTTTTACATTGGATTTTTCATGATTTTCTAGGCTTTTAGACATTTTAACATCTTTTGTTCTAAACCCCAAATAAATAAATAAATAAATACATAATGGTACGATAGAAGTTGCTATTCCCATAACATTCAACTGTGGACGCTTGACTTGTTAAGAAATTAAGTTATTGCTGTTAAAAAATACAGTTACATATTGTTAACATTAACAGAACTATTTTGTTGGAAAATGAACAAATGCAGCTGGACCACAATGGTCTCCAGGGCTGAGCTTTCTCAGAGGAATCATCATGATAAAGTCCATCTTAGCAAGACAACAGGATGGAAATCATCCTGGAAGGAAACGCAAAATGTCTATCAATTTATTTCAGAATAAGCAATACAGGCTGATACCATAGAATGGCTTTTCATCTCCTTAATATATCAACAGAAATAGAACACCACTGTCTCTCATAGTTACAGTTAGTATTGCTGAATACAAAAAAATATATAAAGCTTACAAAGTACACTTGTCATTCATAATAAAAAAAAAAGATAATATTTAATGAATTTTGCATCATTTTTAGCAGAAGTGTATGGGAGCTGATGAAGCAATGAACTAAAGTAGGTACCTATCATTCATTCCCTTCACTTCAAAGAGGCTGAAGCATATCTTTTCAGTTTTACTATGTGTACATCTGTTATATCAATACTTCAGAACTGAGCCATGACTGGCTGAAAAAGTGACAGTATCCTCTTTGAAATTTTCCTGATCCAAAGTTGGCGAGGTTTCCATGCGATCCGAGGAGCAAGATTAAGACCAAATGAGGTCAGATACCATACACCTGAAGCAACTTTATTAACAACAATAAAACATAAAAGCGATAGGAAAGAGGGGAATAAAAGGTAGAAATTAAGCAAGAAGTCTGGATAGAGAGGCAAGAAACTGTTACCACCCACGTTCCCACAACGCTCCGACTGTCCACAGGCTTCAGACGGTGAATACATGCCTTTGCGCACACACATGCACTCACACCTCAGCTCACCTGCCTCCCCACATGCACATGCCACAAAACACACCCTCTCCAAAACACATGCCCATTCGGGGGGCGCTTTCCTGCAGGATTTTATAGCCTGTCCAGAGAAAGTCCATTGGGCCGAGCATTTCCATGGCAGTGGCATGTCCAACACGTCCAACAAGTCCAACACATCCAGGACCCCCTCTCAAGCGTGCCCATAGGGTACATGCGTTTGCTACGTGCTCCCTTGTGGTGCACTGCACATGGTGGTAGTCTTCACACCACACCAGACTGGCTTCTCCATGCAATGTCACTGGTGGGCACAGTTCAGTTTCTAAGCAATCTTCGAGACAAATGTCCCACAGTTCAGTCTCTCACATAAATATTAGTATCCAAAACTCACTAGTGACGGTTCATTTCAGAATGAAAACAAGCAAAGCCTAAAATGAATTTTCCAAATCTTTATTCCTCCCAAAATGTAGTTTATTTTTCTGTTTTGTACTTGCAGATCAAATCAGATTTAGACAAGCAGGATGGCAACCTAAGATACGTTTTGACTGGGGAGGGTGCTGGAAGCATTTTTATAATTGATGAAAATAATGGCAAAATTTACGTGACACAAAAACTGGATCGGGAAGAGAAGCCCTTCTACACTCTAAGAGCACAAGCAATTGACAGGAGCACTCAGCTTCCTGTTGAACCTGAATCAGAATTTATTATCAAAGTTCGAGATGTCAATGATCATGAACCACAGTTCTTGGATGGACCTTATGTGGCCACTGTTCCAGAGATGTCACCTGAAGGTACGACATGCTGTGAACCAAACTCTTTATTTCCTGATATTTTCTAGATAGCTATGTTGATATAAAATCTTAATATCATATTTTATAGACTGCCATTCATTGAGAAGGAAGCAAAACATTTTACAAGCTTGGAAATTTGCAAAGGTGTATGCTTAAACTGAAGGTTGTGCATATCTCTACTTAACATCTTTGCCTTTAAATATTTAGGTACCTACATGTATCCAAGTCCTTTTACAGAATCTGGATACATGCTTGGATTGACTACAGAGAGTTGTCTTTCCCATCAGTGATTCAGCCTTGAAATTGGTACTAGTTTAAAAATACGAGATTACCATTCCAAATAGGTAGAGTACTATAGAGAGTTGATACTGCAAAGGAGATTTGGGTCTGACAGATTTCACTACTTTTTCAATCAGTATACCACCCTAGTCTCTAGAAAAATTTTCAGTATATGATTATTGTTGCAACCTGTCAACTCTTCAAGCTTCTACCAGTCTGAAAGAAAAATAGCATGTACATAAGCTTTAAAGTCCTCTGACCTCAGTTGACTCTTTTAAGGACATAAATATAATCTTGATTGAACTGAAAAGTACTCAACAGTATCCTTCAGTGTACTCTAATTCTGCTTAATAATTAAATCATATTGTACTGTAACTGGAAAAGAAAGACATTCACATCACAGGCACTCACAATTTCCTCCCTAAAGACAGGGATAGTTTCCTTCCTATAAGTAGCGAGTTCAGAACAGGAATGGCATGAGGCTGATGTGGGGCTGATGTGATGACCACCCTCACATCACGTATGATGCCTTCCTGTTTACACTGTCAAGCCTCTTTCCCATCAGTCAGCTTCTCTTGTTTGGATTAGATGGTGTGCAGTGAAGGAGTGCCTTTCTATTTCCTAAATATATGAACAGTAATTTTCCTGTCAAGAGGAAAATCTTAATCCCTGCACATCTTCTTTCCCACCTCCAGACAAACAGACCTGTACTAGGGTCTGTCTTATATCTGGAAACTTAATACAACAAGTATAGGTGTATATATACCTATATGTGTACATGCACATATGCATGTGTAATGCGTATACACATAAACTTAAATTCTTAAAAAAACCCAAAGTGTGAACGCAGCTGACATAAACAAGCATGTTATTGATACTACCTCCAAATAACTATCTTAAAAATAAAAGGAATACTGGACTCTTTAAATCTTACAGAAAGAATCACAGTAATCTTTTAAATTTGTACCCCTCTCTTAGTTTTTTCTAGTGCAAATAATATTGAAAATAAATTAAAATATTGTGCTTCTTAAAACTGTGTGAGTTAGTGGGGTCATTAATGTAATAGCATCAGCGATCATAAGAGGTAATAAAAAATGTGTTTCATTCAGAATTACCTGTTCAATGTAATATTGAATATGTTCAACTTTTAAGGCAAATTCAGTGAATCTTTCACAGGGACCTGTAAAAATCTTCTGCCAGCCTGGATAGCAGTTGCAAGAAAAGATATTCGTGCCTGGGATTTAACCAAAAGTGGGGTTGGTATCCTAATTTCTGCCAGGAAGCAGTAGCTCACCATCACTACCAGCAATAGCTACAAAAGACATCCATTTAATCAATTTATTTCCTAGGCACACTTCTTATACCATCTTCTATGAGGAAAATAACTTCTGGGTGTTTGATTATTTCTTCACTGCCACATTCTCTCCATGCAGACAGACTTATTTGTCTTGATACTTCTGCATCTGAGCTCTTGGTCAAATAACTTTTTCTAACATAATGAGTTGCCTTGTCAAGGACCTTAGATTTTCTTTTTTGTGTGTGTGCTTACCGTAATAATGGGCATAGTTCATTGTGCAGAATTATCTGGGCATTTTTATCTAGGTTTACACAGATTTAGGACTTTGAAAATATCCTTTTTTCTTTTCCTTCCCCCTTCCCCCCCCGTGTTAAAATGTTTTTAATTAGATTTATAAAAATGGTTTTAAAATAGCTCATAATTTAGTATGGCTTTATTTATACTTACACAGATGTGTAACCATTCACAGAACTATATCAAGAATCAACTTATGGATTCCTTCTATTTTATCTCCTTGTCTTAATGAGCTCCTGTCTTAATGGTGGCTTTATGGAAGAAAAAGAGAAAAGTTAGTTAGGACAGTACTTATGACCGAAAACAACAGTAATTATCTTTTCCCTTATACCTCTTTCTCACTTGAAACTATCAATAAACAGTTGATAGATGAGACATTTCAATCTATATTGACTTGAGTTAGCTATAAACTGGTACTCTAAAAATGAAAAGCTCATAACCCTTTATCCCATCTCTTGTGTCATCTATTATATATTTAAATTCCTAAAATACTGTATCACTTAAGCATAAGATTAATTAAACTGCAAAAAAAAAAAATTATTTTGTGATATTCCTGTAAGATTATAGAAAAAGATTCCATTAAAATGTAGAAATACATGAAATGAAGAAAAAAATTTAAAAATCAGAAGTAACACCACCTCCCATTTGTCAGAATGGGTGAAAAACAAAACAAGAACCCTGTGTGCCTCCTCTGTCAGACACAGACTACATGAAACAGTAAACTCATACTTTTACAACCATCCAGTGTATGATATGTGAATCTGAGTCAGTCCTATGGATTTTGAAATATTTTCTGCATTGCTCCTTCTACTTTTGACCTCTCTAGCATTAATACCATAGCTATTTCAGAGGTCATTCTTTCACCTACTTCTTGCATATATATGCTACTACACTCCTGACATACTAATGTGTATGTCTGGCATATGGAATGTGAGTGCATTGGTATATAATAGTATATGTCTTAACAGTGGTCAGCTTCAATGAAACAGCAGGGCCACATCATGAGGACTTCCCTGGGTTCATATATCCTGCTTCTCAAAGGGTCGGGACTGCACTTCTGACGTGAAACCTTTCTCAGTGTGCATCCTAAAGCCTTAATCCTTACAAGGAAATTTCTAACCTCCCAGTAGACAGAAGCAGTGACCAACCAAGATTTGTGGCATTGATACCATAACAGTTCATTATATTGGTGTTTTTCTCCCAGTAAAAAGAATATCCCCTTGTGTAGTAACGGCTGTAGACCAGAAATCATTCAGTGAAGTAAAGAGACTTGGCCTTTACTCTGTTTCAGAGCTCTCTAGCAGCAGTTCAGCTCACTAATGCTAGACCTGGGATCTCCTACTAGTTTCCTTGTAGAAAACATGCTTCGAAAGCATGGTCAATACTTCGTAAAGCAGTTCACTATTAGGGAAAAATTTTGTCTGGAACTAAGAGAGCAAGGAGAGAATAATTCACAGTCAGCCACTTCAGAGAAACACAGAAAAACAGAAAATAGGCACAGATAATTTTGCTTAAATTTCAGTACAAGTATCAATAAATATACTAATGTGCCAACAAACTAGAATATAGTTTAATTGTTTCTTAGCTCTCTTTTATCTTCAATACTAAATTTTATTCAGATTATATATGCAAGCCTCACAGTAAATAAAAAGAGTGTCAGCAAATGGACTCTCATCTGAGAACACGACTGTGGTTTTCCTTCAGGCATTTGCTACCATTTTACATTGTGTCTTCCATATAGCTGTTAAACTTGTACAAATGCAGTATATCTAATGGAATGGTAAAGTCGGATGCAATAATGTATCAATACTTAATGTTTTTATAGATTTCAAGCTCTAGTTAGAAAAATGAATAACTATTTGCCATATGAGGACCCTATAGTTTACCTAATGGGCTGCAATGTGTGGCACTACTATGCTTTGCCCAAGAAGGGTAAATCAAGACTGCAGGAATAGAAAAAAAAACCTTATACAGCTATCAGCAAAATGTAGTTTTCCTTAAATAAAGTTAATAAAAAGAAAAAAAAAAAAAAAAAAAAAAAAACTTACACAGCTATCATCAAAATGTAGTTTGCCTTAAATAAAGTTAATAAAAAGCAAAAAAAAATAAATGTGTAAGCATTTTTACTATCCAGCTTAAGACATTACTGTGTACATAAAATACATATTTGAGCTCGCCCTGCTTTTGGCTGGGACAGAGTTAACTTTCCTCATAATAGCTAGATGAATTTCCTGTATTAGAGACTTACACAGCTATCATCAAAATGTAGTTTGCCTTAAATAAAGTTAATAAAAAGCAAAAAAAAATAAATGTGTAAGCATTTTTACTATCCAGCTTAAGACATTACTGTGTACATAAAATACATATTTGAGCTCGCCCTGCTTTTGGCTGGGACAGAGTTAACTTTCCTCATAATAGCTAGATGAATTTCCTGTATTAGAGCAGTTTCCATAGGCCACAGCTGATACAAAGTTAACAGTTGTGTGTCTAAGAATTTTATTTACCCTTCAGTCTTATTAAAGAATACCATTATTTCTGAAGCATAGACTGTGTGTCTGAGAATTTTATTTACCCTTCAGTCTTATAAAGAATACCATTATTTCTGAAGCATAGATGTGCCCTGATTAAATATTAACCTATCATTTCTTCTTTAAACTTCTCCAGAAGTACACCTCTATACACACACCCAATACATAACTAAATCTTGGAAGTTTGGTATTGTAACTATGTTTTGAAGGACATGTAACTCCAAAAGTTGGTGACATTTAATAACATTTCAGTGTACCTCCACTCTGAGAGAAGACAACATGCATTATAGAATCACTTGGAGTGCTGCTGAAAAATTTGAAAGAAAATGCAAAAAATATTTTTTAAAAATAAAAATATTTCATTTAGCATATCCTTATATGAAAATCCTTCTTAATTTCTGTTTAAAAATAAAAATATTGAACTGCTGGAAAATGCAGAATTTTTTTTTTTTTTTAATTGGGGATAAGTATCAACTTTGAGTTTGGCATAAGAAAGGTGTTTCTGGTTTAACTCCTTGCACTCCACCATTTCTTCTTCTTTTCTCCTCCAGCATGACTATACAGCTACATTGGTAAACAGGTGCAACCATGTGAACGTATGCCAGAAATTTTTAGAAAGTAGCTTGATTTCCTGCTGTTCCTCATGAGAAGAGATATTTGTATTCTTATGCAGAACCTAGGTGAGGAAAAAAGACAAAAATAATGACCAGTTTACAAAATTATGCTACTGTGAATATTTTGTTTTAAAGGACAAATCATCACTGATGGTGCCATGAGATTGCTGTCCATCTTGTACCTAGGATATAACCAGCTTCCAGACAGACATTAAATCAAGCTCTGCAGACTGATTCTCCTGTGCCTTGTGCACTGGGAATTCTGCTGTGACTCTTGCACTGGGACAGGCTCATTAAAGACGCAAGGATAAAAAATGTTACCAGAGCCTTGTTATACTTCTTGTCTGCTTTGCTTGCTAACAATTAATTTCTTTATCACCAGTGGGCCTACTAGTGATAAAGTGGTTCTGTTTTCTTATTCCCATGGGAAGCTTCCATAAAATACTTTGAAGAACATACAAGGAGAGGCAAAACAATTTGCTGCACTCCATTCACATAGCAGAAATTAGGGAAAAGGACATAAGATACATAGCATTTTAAGCAACATAAATATAGTGCTGAAAAGTCATACATGTTTTACTTTTATTTTAATTGAAAATTTGAACTCAACAAGAACAGTTGCTGAGGAAATACTTTTCTTTCTCATGATAAATTTTAGAAGGTGCCATTTGTTCCTGTAAATTTTCAGGACTGTGTGCTAATATAACTGGTATGTTAAAAGGTTTTTAAGGAGTTTATGTTTTGTAATGGCAAGATAATTTATACAAGAAGAAAATAAACATAACCTATTTTATTTTTTCCTTGAGGTACTTCGGTTACACAGGTAACAGCTACAGATGGTGATGACCCTTCTTATGGGAATAGTGCCCGTCTGCTTTACAGTCTCATTCAGGGACAGCCTTATTTCTCTGTGGAGCCAAAGACAGGTACTACAAATGATCTTGTAGCTTCAAAACATTTGTGAACTAACAGAAAGCAAGCAAAAATGTCTTTCTTCATTTCAACACAAAGATCAACCGATAGGGCCCTACACTTGTACATCTTTGCATACTTCCTCTTTAAAAAAAAAAAAAATTCTTTCCCATAGGAATCTGAAATTCTTTCTCTCTAGAGAATCAACAATTTATTTAGCAAATTATCTTGCTAAAGAAAAGAGTTGGATTTTAATTACCCCATCCAACAAATGGACCCAGGAACACTTGTGGGTTAACAGCTTTATGACTAATTATGTGACATTCCTATCTCTACATTGGAGAAACCACAGACATGTGGCATCCCCCCAAAATCCTGATTTCTAGTAAAGAAAGAAGGTTACATGTGGTAGAGGAGATATATGTTGTGTTCTGCTCCCCAGAACTCTAAGTATGCAGAATGGATCTGTCATACAATGTAGATGTTGCCACGAGTACTAATTCACAGTATTAAGATACTTGTGCTGTGCATGGTCTAGAAGGTAAATTCATAACTGTATCCAATGACGCACTTTATACCCATATTATATGGTCAAATGTTGGGAAAAAATGGGACGACTATATGTTATTATATTATACTTTTCCCTTTTAGGGGTCATCAGAATGGCTTCCCAAATGGATAGAGAAACAAAAGATCAGTATTTGGTCGTCATCCAAGCCAAGGATATGGTTGGGCAACCAGGGGCATTTTCAGCAACAGCCACTGTTACCATCAACCTTTCTGACATCAATGACAATCCACCTAAATTTCAACAGCGTGAGTATAGGCTAGTTACAGTACTTGAAGTCTTTCTTGAGAAAATTTAGATCTACTGTAGTTCTACCAAGTTCACTAGTAGGTCTTTTCAGAACAGGTCTGTGCTTTAACTCCAGTACACAGATTTAAATAAAAATAAAATTTAAGAAATCCCACATGAAAACAAAGGGGAAAAGACAATCTATCTTTACAAAAGACCTCAGGCCTGCTGTTTTTATTACTAGGCTGTGGAGACAAATGACTTAATAAAGCTCTTTCTATATAGTTTGCCCTACCTAAGCCTAAAATCTGGGCAACAGGATATTTAGTACCATTTTTCACTCACCTTCTTTCATTTTTTCCTCTTTTCATTCTTTGCTGACAGATACTGTAAACTTTTGCCAAATGATGTGACCTTCTTTGTCCAGGGAGTTTCTAGCAGGCATGGGAGCTGCTAGCTGTGCTGTCAGGAAGAACTAATGAAATGCAGTGGGGAAGTGCTGCCCTCCGCTGCTTTTTTTTCATCCTGTTGGTTCTCCTCAGCTCTTTATTTGATGCTGAGAGAGGAGGACTCACAAGTGGAAAGGTTGTCATCCCCTGCCCCCAAGATCTGTCCGTTGCTGGATTAGATCCATTGCTCTGATAAAAGCTGGTGGCTTTTCCCAGCCTTCTGAGAGCCTCAGCCATCATAGCTACAACAGCTATTAACCATGGCAGATCACTAAACTGTGCCAGTATTTGTTTCTTTAGGACTCTACCATATGAGTGTCTCTGAAGAGGCTCCTGTGGGCACTACTGTAGGCAAAGTCTTCGCAGAAGATGGTGACATAGGGAAGAATGCAGCCATGAATTATTTCATTGAAGGTGATAGCTCAGATGTTTTTGACATCATTACTAACAATGAGACTCAAGAAGGAATTATCTTATTAAAAAAGGTGAGATCTCAGAAAGTTCTAAAAAATCTCTAAATACTGGAAAGGATCTCCTCAAGCAATCTGGATGATTAAAAAAGGCCTGTTGCTTTGGATTCTACTCTTTTTTTTTCTTTCTGTAGGCTTTGTGATTTGATTGAGATGTTAGGGGGATAAAAAGAAACATGCTTTTCTTTCTGTTTACTATTTTTGACTCATTCTTATTACTTCTGAACACAATAGTGGCAGTCAAAGTATCTTGATGTTATTCCTCACTGTGCAACATAGTGTATCCCATTGTGAGAAAATGTTCTATCTCTTCTGTGCATCATCTGTAAAATCTTTATCAATAAATTGTACACAATATTTCCTCACTTCCAACACCTGTTTTTAAACTTAACTGAAGCCAGAAGGTGTTACAGTATTAGATAGACAATGGAGTTTTTTTTATGATGTAACTTTAAAAAAGGCACTAAATACAGTCAAAAAGATACCAGTTTATGAATTAAATTATTTAAGAGTCTTTAATACTGCATGATTTATTTTGGAATCACATAGGAAGATTTCTGGGTCATCTGGGTCATCATCTGAAATGACAACAGAGTTTGATAGTCCAGTGAAACCCTGAAGCCTGAAGAACTGAATGCTATAAATTTGTTTGTTTATTTTTTCTGTTTGGATTTATTATAGTTCAGGAAGGTATTTTTTTAGTATTACCTTTTTTAATTACAGAAGATTATGTCTATCTAAAATAGCAATATAACTATGTGTTTATTAAGAACTCATTATTGCCTTATTTCCTTTAGAGAATAAATTTTAACATACTCAGATTAACCCATACAGATTAACTGATTCACATTGTTCATGTAAGAGTAAAGGATAGTGTTCACGAACGTTACATCTATGTTAGAAATACAAGTACTAATAGAAGTTGTTTTTCTTAGGGTTGACATTCAATCAGAAGACTTCTTTTACAGTGTTGTTTAAATGTAACATTAAAGACAGTCTACATGTGAAAGCAAAAAATGGCATAGCACAGTTTAATTTTAAAGTTTTTTTAACATTAAAGAAGAAATCATAGAAGTAGCTACTTTTTGAAACATTCCCAAAAAATGGGTAGCACTATTTTGTCTTTAATCTCACACCACTTATTGAATTGTACTTAATTCAAATGTGGAGAAAGATATATTCCACATCTCACTTTCTTTCTTAACAGAGAGTGGATTATGAGAGCAAGAGGAGATACAGTGTTCAAGCAAAAGTTGTAAACAGGTACATTGATGACAATTTTGAAAAAGAAGGACCATTTGAAGACAAAACCATTGTCAAAATCAATGTGGAAGATGCTGATGAACCTCCAGTTTTCACTTTGGAGAACTATGTGATGGAGATTTCTGAAGCAGCCGTGAGTGGCTCATTAGTGGGCGCTGTAACTGCTACAGATCCAGATGATGATGACTGCCCAGTCAGGTACCTAACCTAGCATGTGAACAGGCCTAAAATCTGAACGTAGTTGGGATTTCCAAAGGCTATTTCCATTCCTTACCTTGGCTCATGATTATAGTAAATCATGCTTTCATTTGATAGCCTAGGTTATTCTAGTTGTCATGGTGTAAACCCAGTAGACATTAATGACCACACAGCCTCTCGCTCACTCACCCAGACAGTGGGATGCGGGAATGTATTGGAAGGGTAAAAGTGTGAAAATTCATTAGATGAAATAAAGACAGTTTAATAGTAAAAAAAAAAAAAAAAAAAAAAAAAAAAAGAAAACAAAAAAAAAAAGAAAACAACAAAGGGAAAACAAAACACAACACAACACAATTTTTTTTTTTCAAAAAATGGGTTGTTTTGTGGTTTAATTAGATGACTGCAGCATCTCCAGCAAAACATTTAAACACAGTGCGTATCAATGACTTCTTAGTTTGAAATATTTTGATGGAACTTGTCACAAAGTGAATATGTCTGCATAGTCCCCAAAACAGAGACACATATATTACGTCATTAAGTTTCTTTCAAATAGAGCATGTCACTTCTAATGAAAAGTTATGCCTGTTGGACTAAGTTCTATGCACATGAATTCAACTTTGAAACAATTTCTATCATAATTGACAGGAGTTAGTTATAATATAGAAAACCAGCTGTGTTGCATTGCGGACCCCAGTTTTCAAATAAATAAAGTAAAGACATGCAACAAAACCTCACTACATCAATAACGAAAAATAACTTAAAAATATCCAACACAGATTTTCTGAAAATTATCTACCAAGAATCAGATTACCAAAAAAAATCAAACCCAAAATAAAACACGAATGTTGGAAAACCCCAAACAAGATTTGGATGCAGAAGATGAAGAATACTCACATTAAAAAAAAAAAAATATTAAATGTAAATCTCTAAAACAGAAGTTTATAAATGTCACATCTTTGGCTCAAACGATAAGAACTTTCACTGACTGTTCTGCTGGTTCCTTGCTCTATTCTCCTACTGATTTTCAAAACAGACAAAATGTAACTATAAATAACAAGTTATAGAGTCATCCAATCCCTGGCACATAATCTGAGATGGAGTCCTAAATGCCAACAGGAGACAGAAAGACTTTGTCAGGCACAATTAAAGATACAACAAAAGAGGGAATAATTGCATGTGGGAATTCCAAACTGGAATGGTAAGAACCTTTCAACTCTTCAAACAGGTTTTATTTCCACGAAATAGACTCTATTAGGAACTGTCACATACAGTCTTTTTTATATGTTGTGAAAAATAATAACATAAAA